GGAGTTCAAAGGTCAGGTCAGAGTTTAAAGGTCAGGTCAGAGTTCAAAGGTCAGGTCAGAGTTCATAGGTCAATTCATAGTTAAAAGTGTTTGAAAAAGCAAATGAATTAAATTGAAGAAACACCAAGTCAGTTCTATGGTCTTTATTTGATGCCGTTTTAAGTCCAACAAGAGCGCCCTCTATTCAGTCACTATCCCTGTAACATACATCAATTTTATGGCAACAGAGGGCGCTATCACAGAACAGAAAAAATTTAATCTACACATTCATTTCCCCTCCCCTTGTGAAACACACACTGCACCAAGCTTTTTCGAAGTTTGTTTTAATAAAGTGACGAGTTTGTTTCTTGTACTATGCATTTGAATTAATGGTGCAGTGTGTTTTTTTTAAATATACATTACCCTGGAAATCAGTACATCTGCTGTCTATTTCAAGAGGTGATTTTGGTATTTTGATTGTTTACTGTTGATCTTTTTTTTTAGGCTTAACGCAATAAAGGATTCCCTTTTCAAATAGCTTAGAAATTGTACACAGCGCCATGTTAACAACAGCTTTTAGCAAATATGTGTTCTTTTTGTGTGTAAAAGTCCAAGTTGTGAAGTCTAATAATAGACAGCAGATGTACTTATGAAATAAAATCACACGACAGCGACAACGTACACTTTATTTAGCCAAATGTTTGCACAAATCTACACTAGCACATCATACAGTACACAAATTTATGCCAAAGATTTTCATGCTAAGTTGCATCTGAAGTGTGCATCTCATTTTAACAAAAAAACGAAAAGAAAAGAGACGGCACCAATTCAAGAACTTCCTTTCTTGGTGCACGAATTCAAATACATATATTATGTTCCACAAATGAATCACACCTCCAATGTATCTTAAATCGGGAACATATTTTTGATTCAGTATCCCATTTTAACTAGTTCAAGTGAGGCAGTGTTCCAATTACTTGGTAATGACTGGCAATAACTGCCAGGGCTTCCTCTCCAATACAGGCACGAAGGCGATGCATTCCAGCTATGACTGAACCTTTAAATTAAAATCATAATACCAAAAGTTCATATGATGTGCTAGTGTAGATTGCATGGTTTGTTTAAAATTAATTAAAAATTTGTAGATTGTATGAGCTATTTCAATAAAAAGAAACTGAATAATAAGGCTATACCGGTATCTTAGAAAATTAAATTTCAAAGCAATAAAATGAAACCAGGCACATACCAATCTGCCCTTACTGTTTTAGAACCAGACTAAATTAATACAATAAATTCAAACTGTTGTTCATAAGAACAGAGCTTTAAAAAGAGCTGGGGCACTGTAATTTTTCACAGAAATGACAACAAAAAATGTTGGATGCTCAAAGGCTTTCAGGCACGTTCACGATGTGCTTTCCTTTGCATTAACAGTAGATAAAAATGGGGATTTACTTTGATTTGTAAATGGCAACCAAACACTTCATTTCATGAGATGGAACATTTGCATGTGTACTAACTAATGTTTAAAAGTATAACTCTTAAAATAAAAGTATAACTCTTAAAACTAATTAAACAAGGTCTGGTTCGGGTATTTGTATATAATATGTGCCTGGTTTCAACACAATTAAACAGGGCAAAATCCATGGCACTAGTCATAAATAACCCTGTATAAAATAAGCATGTTACTTTTAATTTTTCAGGCAAATGCTTGAATCAAAAGTAGCCAAAAACCTCAGAACAATATCAGTTGTTTGACTCCAAATGAGAACTGGCATACTATGTTGTCTTTACAGAGGAGAAGCACATGTATCAATCAAAGTTGAACAGTTTCTGTCCTCCTAATGCCATGGATCTACCCTTTTCTCAAGTTAAGTCCATCCGCTCTTTAAGAGTCCAGGAATCCGGTAGAGACATTAGCGATGGATGTTGCGTCTGTGGCTCATGATGTTGACTCATGGCTTGTAGAATTTCAGTTGATCATCGGCATGCATGTTGGGATTAAAAGAGGAAAAATAAATTGGATTAGCTGAACATATTTTTATTTTGAAATGGCAGGGTACAGGACAATGGACCGGTATTTAATCTTAAATTTGCAGCGAAACGTTACTGGCCATACACGTGTTACTTGTAAATTTCTCTTTTGGAGGCCACAAGTTGGAATATGTCGTTGAAGTGTTAAAATCAGTTGCATTTGTTTTGCCTTAATGGGTTCAATGCTGATGTCATAATGTCATGACTCAGCTTAAAGGACGTTTGATTTAACCCTCTAAATACAAGTTAAACTTTCCACTGGTTGAATTATAAATCTGAGAGCAAAGAACCATTCAGTTCCTTGGAATTTGCAACTGATTTCAAGATTCAAAAAGTTTTATTTACTTTATACATGTAAATAGTCCTTTATTTTGCCTTATGGCATCCATTTCCTGTACCCTGCCGTGTGGAAGCAAATGTCAGAAATTTGCATTTCCGTGCTTGAATTCTTCATTAAAAAATAACAATACATTTAAATTTCTTGATCCTGGCTGACATACAAATCTTTCTTGCTCACATATGATGCAACTTATCAGAAACCAAAGCATTTATCATTGATTGCAGTAAACCAGTATTTTATTGGCTTCAAATGGTTCTGCTGCTGCTTGAAATCCAATTGTAAAGTCACTGTTACAATCTTGGCGTTCAGTGAGAGAGTACGGTCCATTCTGGTCTCCAGGATGAAATTGGGAAATGTACACAGAACATGTACACAGAACATGAAGAAGAGTTGTAACTTCTAAAAGTTTTAAAATCCAAGCTTTTTCCCAAATGGGCAGGACTATGTGTGAATCTAACGTTTGGCTTTTTGTACAAAAAAGTAGCAAACTCTCCATTCATCTAAAAAAAAAAAGAAAGTTTCAGGTCAAAAATTGGGAAATCCAGAGAAACCTGACAAATGATACCCATGTAAACTACATGTAAAGAAGAGTGTGACCTTAACATGTACATGTGTATAAATTTGTTACACCTACATGTACATGTACCATTGATGATATTATACAGGATGATGAATATCTATTTGTAGAAGTCAAACCTTTCATCTACTTCATTAAGATTGTAAGTAAATATAGATGGAGGAATAAAAGCCAAAGAGCAACTCCAATCTTATAACCATTGAAAGCAAAGCAGCATCTCTGTACCAAGGAAGTGCATTAAAATGGCAAATGAGGTCAAAGTTGTGCAAATAGAGTACTGAACATACATGAGTTAATGAGGAACTGAGGGTACATGAAAGCTAAGGGAGTTAACCCTAACACTCTTCAGTCCTCCAACAGGTGAAGGATTGAGGGGGGTTGGAGTTAATGAGGAACTGAGGGTACATGAAAGCTAAGGGAGTTAACCCTAACACTCTTCAGTCCTCCAACAGGTGAAGGATTGAGGGGGGTTGGAGTTAATGAGGAACTGAGGGTACATGAAAGCTAAGGGAACATCTTATTACATGTACCGGCATGTACATGTAGGTGTACATGTATGTACAAATGTACATGACTAATTTTTGACTGAATTTTTTTTAAGGAAATTCTAAAATGAAAGCGACCAATCATATTGCTATCATTTTCAGATATCACTGAAAAAGTCTGATCAAAAAAACCTAATAAGAAAAATCCAATACTTGTACTATTGGTACCTATAAAACAAGATTTCTGGCAGCGTGATGACTTGCACACGATGTGCGCATGGGTGCAATCTTACTGGGAACTGTTACAATCTTTTATCTTTAAGTTTCCGAATTTAAGGGTTGTCGATCTTTCACCAAGTAAAAAATAAAGTGTTCACAGATGGGCAGCCCTGTATTCGTATTTACATGTAGCTGCAGGAGAAAAGAACTCTGGAGAATATTTTTACAGAGACTGCTCCAGCCTCAGCTGGACAAGGATTAAACTCTTAGTGGGAAAACAGAGGCATGCAAGACAGTGGTACACACAATGTAAACAGAGGTTTTGAGGGATGATACCGGTAGGATTGTTATCTGTATGACAACATCTGCCTAGAAAGTTACGACTTTTATTAACGGGAACAGAGCATCGAGGACTTGTATTCTGCAGTTGTAATTTACAATGTCAGAGGGGCACATAACAGGTCATTGTTTAGCAGGTACAGGGATGTGTACAGTGTATATGTGCATGTAATGTAATATGTAATATGTAATAGCATTTAATATGTACATGCTATGGGCACTTAAACAACTTGACTGAAATTTTTATTTCTTGAAAGCAAATTGTGCCGAGATACTAGTAAATGCTAACAGAGGGAGAAGTGTTTTTAAGACCTGGATTTCTTTCATCAAGAAGCAACAGCATCAAGAGTTTGGGTAAGTTGTCATTTTTATGCTGATGTTTAATTTAATTTTGTTGTTCAAATTTCTCTATCTAATGACCCTATGTGTGTCACATGACGTTGCTAAAACAAACTAGGGCGTGGTCTCATTCATACAAATAAGCCGGCCTGGCTTAGGGCCTAAAATAGTAATTATTTTTAAAGAACTGAAAATACAGTGAAACAAAATACAAATAAGTGAATCAGAGTTTAATTTGGGTCAATGTTATTGGAAAAAAATACATACATACTATCTTATTTTGAAAACTGGATAGTTGCCCGCATTTGATAAAAACATTGAGAGACGTGTAGGCGGCCATTTTGGTTGCATATCCTTGATGATTTGATCCACATCAGCGAAGTTATATTTTGTTTCCTTAAGCACGAACTGTGAAGGCAGTGACATTGCTATGTACTGCATTGTATCTTTTAAGTTGGGACATTAGTTTTTAAAGAAACAAAATATGCATTCAAACCATTGAAAAATACAATTTTGTGGGGTGTTCCATTTACCCCAAGTCATTGGGGTAAATGGAACAGCATGTGTGCTGCATAAATGCTGTGTACCATCACTTCCGGAATATACAAAAGGACTTTTTTTTTACTTAAGTACCCAACCACGGTCTTTTCTGTGTTTATGTGATTACAAGACCCAACTGATCAAATTATAGGATAAAATGACTAATATTGTCAATACATTTTATATTTACTATTCTGTAGATTCAGAATGCCGAAAAAGAAAGCTTCTTGGACTCCAACTTACGGGAAGTGGAAACCTGAAGCCATGGAACTGGCCTTAAAGACCGTGAAAGATAATAAACTTAGCTAACGGCAGGCAGCAAAGCAGCACGGAGTACCACAAGCCACCCTCTGCCAACGACTAAAGAAGGGCATCTCGGGAAATGCACGGGCATCAAGACTGCCAATTTTCTCAGCTGAGGATGAGCAAATCCTTGTTCAATACCTCAAGGATATGGAGAGTCTTGGCTTTGGAATCGGTATCAGTGCTGTGTGCAAGTTGGCATTTGAAATGGCAGAGGAAGCTGGAATCCCTCGTCGCTTCAATAAAGAGGAAAGAAAGGCCGGTTACAACTGGTAGCAAGGGTTCTTAAGTCGACATCCTACGCTTTCGCTTAGAAAACCAGACGGTCTTGCAGCAGCGAGGGCAGCCATGTTGAACCCCAAGGTTATTGGGGATCGTTTCACCAAACTTGGCGAGGTTTTAACAAGACTGGCTTGAAAGAAAAGCCAGGCCAGATATATAACTTAGTACACACACCTTCAAAGGTCATCTCCACAAAAGAGAAGACTGTTCAGTCGTGAACAAGTGCTAACCGTGGGGAAAATGTTACGGTTCTTATATGCACAAATGCACAAGGAACCGTTCTCCCACCATTCGTCATCTTCAAGGGAAAGCGCTTGACTCACAATACACCACCCGGGACACTCTTTGGAGTCAGTAACTCCAGTTTCATTAATGCTGACCTCTTTGAGACGTGGTTTCGACAAATGTTTATACCCTCACTGCCGCCTGTTCGTCCATTGCTCCTCATCTGGGATCGACACTACTCCCATATAAATATAGCCACGCTCACACTAGCCCGGGACAATTCCATCAGCATCTATTGCCTGGTGCCTCATACAACAAACCATACGCAACCTCTTGATAAAACTGTTTTCAGATCAGTCAAGGTCGCATATAGTAAGAGATGTGAATGATTCATGAGAGAAAATCCCCAACAACAGATTACACGGTACAATTTCTGTGGACTCTTTCGGGATGTGTACCAGCATGTTCACCGTGAGCAATATCATCAGTGGTTTCAAATCCACTGGCATCTATCCATTCAACCCTCAAGCCGTAACTGCAGAGCACATGCAATTCTCTGCTGTCGATACAGAGCTAGAGTTTCAAGAGGCAGATCAGGAGCCAGCTGAAGAGCCCGTCATCATACCAGTAGTCTTGATGGTGACGTCAGCATCGCTACTGCCGATCCTTTGGTTCCTACTGGTGAACAGCCAAACACTCCACCCACGGATGCATCTTCCACTGAAGAGCCAACGGATATAAAAACCCAACCAGAAGATGAAGTACAGCAAATAACGCTAGAAGAGCTCCCTCACTCATCAACCCAGGCTCCTTGCTTTGCAACTCTCTTAAAGAAGCCGGTCATGAAGAAAGTTTTTAAGAAAGGAACTTCAAAACGAGTGACTGAGGCACGATGGCTGACAGCAGATGAAATTTATACTGCAGAAGTGGAGAAACACCAAAAGAAAGAAAGGGAACTTGCTGAGAAGGAAGTCAGAAAAGTAGAAAGAGAGAAGAAGAGATGTATGTATCTGCAGCAGACGCACCATTTTTTTCCGTTTGTAATCATGTCATAGAAAAGTGCACCTCTATACAAACCATGACGTCATGTAGTTGTGTTGGCGCTACAATTGCTGCAACATGTAATATTTGATGTTGCCAGGTGGTATTTTAGGGCAGTACTGGATCAAGTACGTGATTGAAACATTTCAGATTTTTTTTACCTTTGAATGTCGTGGCTCTTGCAAAAAAACCTCAATTATCATAAAAACTTTCAAAACACATGTTGGGTTTAATAAC